AGTTACCTTTCTATTGCTGTGTTAAAATACCCTGATAAAAGCAACTTAAAAGGAAGAGATTTATTCTGGTTCACAGTTCTGGTGTCATATATAATGGAGGTGTCACTTCCTCTTTTGAATTGTTAGGGTCAAATGCACTAATGGATACAAATCAGCTATTAGAAAAATGCATTCCAAGCAGAGGGAGCAGCCTGATCAAAGGCAGTCCCTCATGGTGGGGGGCTCACAGCAGCAGGGACTTGAAGCAGCTGGTCACTGCTGTCAGGAGAGCAGTAAATGCATCCATGCTAGGGCTCTCCTCACGTTCAGTACTTACATAGTTCAGGATCCCCTGCCTAGGGACTGGAGCTACCCATAGTGGGCAGATCTTCCTACTTTAATGTAATCTAGACACGCAGTGCAGAATCCAACAGGTGATCCTAACTTCTCTCAAGCTGACCATTAACACCAACTATCACAGAGTTCAAACTTGGCTCTGCAGATGACCAGTTGTGTAACCTTTGAGCCAGTCATTTAATTTCTCCAAGCCTCAGCTTCCTTGCATGTAGAACAATTCTGGCTATTTGGAAGGACTGGTAGGAGAGACAGCGTCTACCAAGTGCTCATTTTCCTTCTTGTTTTCTCCTTCACTTGGACAGCTCACCCTTTGATGGGAGAATGTCCTTTAGATCTCTCTCAAACAAACCTCTTCTTCTAGAAAGACCTAGCTTACCTGCCACCTCTTTCCTAAATTCTTTCCAAGTTCCTCAAATGGGAAAACTGACTTCTTTCTGGCATGTCTTATGTTCATCTTATAGTGTTGCCCCTTTTCTTTATTTTACCTTTTTATTCTCATTCATATTTAATGTACTAATGTCAATACAAAAATATGTTGAGAAAAAATAATCTCTCCATTTCTGTCTTCATCCAACTGAATAATGAAGGGTAATACTGTCTTTCTGATTACATGCTGACATACATAAACTTACATAAAAGATGGTTTGCAGGGCTGGAGCGATGGCTCAGGGGTTAAGAACACTGGTTGTTCTTGCAGAAGACCCGGGTTCGAATCCCAGCACCTACATGGCAGCTAACAACTGTCCATAACTCCAGTTCCAGGAGATCCTACAGTCTCTTCTGTCCTCTGCAGGCATTGCATGACATGGTGCACTCACCTACATGCAGGCAATACACGTATACACATAAAATAAAAATAATAAAAAAATTTTTTTAAAGATGGTTTGCTATGTCATGCTTTTCACAAATGAATCCCCACAATATACATTGCTGTAATACCTATTTTAAAATGTTATTATTTTTAAATGTATGTGCATAAAATTTGTATGTTTGTGTTCGTGTGGGTGCATGTGTATCTGTATGCAAATGCATGTGTGTGCCCATGCATGTGGAAGCCAGAGGACAACCTAAGGTGTCATTCTCAGAAATGCTGTCCACCTCCTATGAGGCAGGGTTTCTCATTGGCCTGGAGCTCACCAATTAGTCCAGACTGGCTGGCAAGTGAGCCCCAAGGATCCTCCTGGATCTACTACCCCAGGTCTGGGATTACAAACTCATGCCACCTGGATAAACATTTTCACATGGGTTCTGGGCATGGCATTCAGGTTCTCATGAATGCAAAGCAAGTATTTCATCAATTGAGCTATTTCTCTAGCTCTTTGGGTGTGAGTGACAGGCTGACCTCAAATTTGGTATGTAGCTAAACTTGAACTTTTGGTCCTCTAATCCTCCCATCTCAACCTCCCAAGTTCGGGGATTACAGGTATGTGCCACTACATTTTATTTTATGCAGCACTGGGGATTGAACCCAGGGCTTCTTACATCCTAGGCAAGCACTTTACCAGATGAGCTACATCCTCTGTCCTATAATACTTATTTTAATTACTAAGAAATTATGGTTGAATATCTATAGATCTACCTTTTTCTTTTTAATAGCCACATAGTATTTTATGGCATAGGCAGACCATGGTTTAGTCAAATATTAACTATCTAATTTTGCCAACACAAACAGATCAGTTATAGATATATTCATTCACATAGCCCTTCAAAATGATGTTTTTATTTCTGTTAGATGGAGTCTCAAAAGTGGGGCTCTTTGTCAATTTTTTTTGTAGTGATGGCCATATTAATTCCAAAAGATTATAGCAGATCAGGGCTGGAGAGATGGCTCAGTGGTTAAGAGTGTTGCTTGCTCTTACAGAGGACCTGGGTTCTATTCCCAGCCCTCACATCGTGGCTAATAACCATCTGTAACTCCAGATCCAGGGGAATCTAATGCCCTCTTCTGACCTCTGTGGACACTGCACAACACGGGTGCACTTACATACAGGCAAGCAATACACTCATACATATAAAATAAAAATAATAAATAAAATAGTAATAAAAAAGATTAAAGCAGTTCACATTCTGATCAGCTAAGCTTAAGCACCTGTTTTCTTGCATCCTCACCATCTCTGGCATATTGTTCTTTTTAAAAAATTACTTATTTTTATTTTATGTGTATTAGTGTTTGGCCTACATGTTATAAGTGCATGCAATTCCCATGGAGGTCAGAAGAGGGTGTCAGATCTCCTGGAACTGAGTTATGGACAGTTAACTGCTATGTGGGTGCTAGAAACTGAACCCGGGTCCTCTGCAAGAGCAGCCAGTGCTCTTAATTGCTGAGCCATCTCTCCAGCCCCTGGCATTTTGTTCTTAACATTTGCCAACTTTATGGGTAAAACTAGTACACCAGTGCTCCTTTAATTACATTTCTTTACTCCCTTCTAAGTTGCAGTAATGATTACAGCTTTTAGGGTTTTTTTTTTTTTTTGGTCTTTTTGAGACAGGGTCTCCCTGTAGCCAAAGCTGTCCTGGAACTTGCTGTGTAGACCAGGCTGGCCTTGATCTCACAGATCCACCTGCCTCTGCCTCCCAAGTGCTGGGATTAAAGGTGTGTGCTACCATGCCTGGCTCGGCTTTTAATTTTTCATTTTTAGAAGTTCTTTGTGACTTAAAAAAATCTGCCTGGACTTTTAAACAATCATATCTTCTTGTTCTTTTCTCATGTTTGTTTTTTTTTTTGTCTGTTTTTGTTTCTGTGGATGTGTGGACAGGAGTTGCGCATGCCTTGTGCATGCTAGGCAAAGGCTATACTACTGAGCTACGCCTGTAGCCCTATTTACTCATGTTTTAGATTTCCTCTTTGTTTTGTGTGGTCTTTTTGAGACAGGGTCGCCCTGTAGCCTCAGCTGTCCTGGAACTCACTATATGGACCAGGCTGGCCTTGAACTCACAGAGATCCACCTGCCTCTGCCTCCCAAGTGCTGGGATTAAAGGCGTGTGCCCCCACAGCCAGCTAGATTTCCTCTTTTATTTAAGGACATTACATAAGTGTACACTGTACACTCAATAATCTGAGCATTCAAGGGTATGTGTTTCTGTTGATTCTTGCTCATGGTGCCTTGCTTCCTTTTGTGATTTGTGATTTTGGACTGAGTTTGTTCGATGGACTGCTATCTGTGTGTGTGTGTGTGTGTGTGTGTGTGTGTGTGTGTGTGTGTATGTGTGTTTCTGGGGATTGAACCCAGGCTCCATGCATGCTAGGTAAGTGCTCTACCACTAAGCTATGCCCCAATTCCACATTTCATTTTCTTTCTTTATCAGCCATGTGATGGCACTGTCAGTGTCATCTGAAATTAAGATCCTGATTGTGCTGCTGCTGGCTATAGTAGGCCCTAGATTCTGAGCTTTCAAGAGTCAAAAAACTTTAGAGAAGCTTGGAGTGGTGGTGCACACCTTTGATCCCAGCACTTGGAAGGCAGAAGCAGGTAGATCTCTGTGAGTTGGAGGCCAGTGTGGTCTACATAGTGAGTTCCAGGCCAGCTAGGGTTACATAGTGAGACTGTGTCTCAAAAAACAAAACAAAACAATGCAAAATCTTCAGAGAAGACTTTTCTCACAGAGAACAAAGAAATGAGTGGCAGATATTTTTTTTCTAATTTACCATGTTATAGTCTCTGATCTTACACCCTACCCTGTGAGAGGCCCAGGATTTATCTTAGTTCCTCTTCCCTTAAAAGCTCTAAGTCACTCAAAGTTGAAGATAACCCAGGGAGCCCACAGATTCCATGCTCAGCACCTCAGAGCACATCTCCAACTTTCTGTTCAGCTCAGGAAATATGCAAATACACATATTCAATAGTTTTATACATGTGTGTATGTGTATGCATGTTCATATGATCATTCATGTTCCTGGTGTATATATGCATGCATATGTGTGTATGTGAATGTGAATGTGGAGACCAAAGGACAACCTTGGTGTCATTCTCAGAAACACCATGAGCTCTGAGTCCTATGTTTTTTGTTTGTTGTTGTTTTAATTTAATGAAAACAACATTTTAAATTAACAACATTTTAATTAAAAACATTTTATTTATTATTTTTATTTTATGTGTATGAGTATATTACCTGCATGTAGATAGGTGTACCCATGTTGTACAATGCCTGCAGAGGTCAGAGGAGGGTATTGGATTGGAACTGGAGTTACAGACGATTGTTAGCTACCATATGTGTGTGCTGGGATTCGAACCTGGGTCCTCTGCAAGGGCAACCAGTGCTCATACTGCTAAGCCATCTCTCCAGCCCCTAATTTTTATTTTACGTATATGAGTGTATTTATTGCTTGAATGTGTGTAAGTGCACCCTTGCTGTCAGCCTGAGGAGGTCAGAAAAGAGTGTTGAAGCCCCTGGAACTGCCATGTGGGTACTGAAAATAGAACCCAGGTCCTCTGCAAGAGCAGCCAGTGCTCTTAACCACTGAGTCATCTCTCCAGTCCTGTTGTTTTGTTTAAGACAGGGTCTCACTAGTGCTCTGGCAGCCCTGGAACTCACAAAGATCCACTTGCCTGCTGGGATTAAAGGCCTGTACTACCATGCCTGGCTGGATCTCATTTTTTTAAGGCATTCATATTACTGGCTGAGATACCCCCCTAGGCCATACGTTCGTTTTTTTTTAAACGCAGGACTGTACCAGGTTAGAATAAGCCACCTCCTCAGGACCTTCAGAAGCTGGTAGTTCCTGTCACATCAATTACTTTTGCAAACCTGGTTTCCTTAGCTGCTGCTACATCATGCAGAGCTAGTGATCAAGTTTGCACCGTTCAATATTTTGAGATGCTTTGAAGCAAGGAATTTCAGGATATCATTTCACATCTTCTCTTCATGAAAGAGAAGTTCAGAATATTGGTTTTTCAGTACCAAGGCTTGAACCCAGGGCCTCATGCATGCTAACCGTGTTCTGGCTACAGGGATATTTCCTCAGCCTTCTTTTTATTTTTATTAGTTTTTTGAGACAGAGTCTCATGTATCCCTGTCTGACTTCTAACTCTCTATGTAGCCAAGGATTAAACGTCACATCTTCTGCTTCTATCTCCTGAGTGTCGGATTGCAGGTTTATTTTTTAAAGCAGAGTTGAAGTTTATTAAGAGATTTAAAAATTATTCTATTTGGGGCTGGAGAGATGGCTCGGTGGTTAAGAGCACTGGCTGCTCTTGCAGAGGACCCAGGTTCAGTTCCCAACACCCACATGGCAGCTAATAACCATCCTTAAGTCCAGTTCCAGGGGATCTAATGGTATCTTCTGGCCTCTGTGGGCATTGCACACATGGGTATGCTTACATACATCCAGGCAAAACACTCATATACATAAAAATAAAATAAATAATATTAAAATTATTGCATTTATTTAGTGCGTGTGTATGTGGTGTGTATGGTGTGTGTGTATACACGTTCTCTCTTCCACCATGTGGATCCCAGTGATTGAACTCAGGTTATCAGGCTCAACAGCAAGAGCTGAACTATCTAGCAGGCCCTTAAGAGATTTTAATACAGATTTTAAGCACTAGGGTTAAGCGAAAGAAAAGCACATTTGAGGACCCATGTGCATGTGAACTTAAAGATTGCCTGCTCGGGTTTTATGCTGTGTTTGGGATCAAACCTTGAGCTTTAGACTGCTCAGCAGATGCTCTACCAATTGAGTACATCTCCAGCCCAGAATTCCAGAAGATTTTCAGATGCTCATTTAGTCTTTTACCAAATGTTCTTAGTGCTTCTGTCTTTAAGGCAGAGATTTAGGCACCTGTATCTGAAGGTTCTAACTCCTAGCCAAGATCAGTATTGATAGGTAAAGTAGCCCATGAATGAATAGGGTTGATAGGGAGAAAGCACCAGGACACAGATAAAAGTCCACTGGAATAGAGTTTATTAGCAAAGGAACACATGGAACAGATTCCCTTCTGGGTAGGGAAAATGTCTGCCGCCCCCCCCCTCCCCCGTCGTGAGCTGGGGTCTTTTATAGGGGGAGGCTTCTGGGGGGGGTGCAGAAGGCAGGAAGATATATATATATATGCATGCACT